TTTTGTTTTTATTTTAAAATATATATTTTTATTTTTCATTTTTATGACTGCATTAATTATTAGCTTTCTATCAACTCAATCAAACCCACTGCAGTTCTTACATTAGCCCCAGTTTGGGGAAACCCTGGAAAGTAATGTTAATGCTTATTTTATATCAATGTGGTACATTTAATGGAAAGTGTAAAGCAAGTTAGGTAAAAAAAAAAGTAATCTAAAAGTAATTTTCAAAAGTAGTCAGAATAGATTACTCAATGTGTGTAACCTTGATTGTTACTAACTACAATTTGTCATGTAATCTGTAATCAGTAACAAACTACAATTTGTAAGTAATCTACCCAGTACTGTCTAGTACAACTACAATCCTTTTGTGGAAGAAGACTGTTAGTTATGGAAGTATTAATTGTCACTGATGAGATTTTCCATCTAATAATCTGACAAGCAAACTTAATTTAGTTTCTTCAATAAAAACAAGCAATTTGTTTGAACACAGCACTGCTTTGTAAAATATCACAATATAGCATTGACATCTAATTGAAATTCAATAGAACCTTATCTGTTAAAGAGTATTTTGAAATGTGGACATCTTATATTTAAAAAAACAAAATGAGGCTGTCCGGTGATCTATTGTGTGTGGCAGCACTTTAAATTGAACAGAAATCACAAGACGAGTGAACTCATCAAGGACTCGAGGGCTTTTAACACACCTTGCTCAAAGAGAAAACAGACATGCTTCATTGATTACCTTATCTGTTGAATGTCAAAGGGGAAGATTAAGGCATTAATTTCCATACAGAGATGAGAAGGTGAGAGGGGTGGGGGTGTGCTGCAAAGCAGTTATGTAAATGATCCAAATACAGCCACCGACGATGCACTGTGAGTAATCTTAATCTGTATTATTTACGACACAAACCCCACAAAGAAAATGACCAAAAAAGACACCTCTCTAGCTTGTACTCTGCATTAAGCAGACTAAAAGGAGAATTTTTGAAGCACACGGCCTTGTTTAAAATCTAGGTCATGCTATTTTCTTTCTATTGTGTGCCACATCTCTTCATGATAAAGAGGCTGAAATCACTTCGCTGATCTTAATAGCAGCTGCACTCTGGAAATACGAAGTTACAGTGCAATTTGGTACAATACATGAAGAATTCTCGCTGCCGCAGACATTTATCATTTTAGACAAATAATGCGTGCTTGCCATCAAAGAACGAGACCGATGTGTAGATTTCTGTGATTATTGATTGCCCCCAGGCAGCTATGATGAAGACAATAAAACTGGCTTTTTCACAC